CTTCTTCTTGTCAAACTTGAGGGAGCAATAGATCAGGGTGATGGATTGGAGATTGTTTCATAAATGTCATTTTAAATTTTGTGCATATTTAAAGGTGTAGAATTGAATTTATGAATCCATTTAAGATCTACTCCTTAGTTTTTTTTATTAATAAATAGAAAAAGCCTAATAGTATGAACTACAGTTTCCACATTCCACAGCCAACACCTTTACAGATGGTGTAGCTGCAGTGTTTTAGAAGCCACTTAAATTCACGCTGTTTTGTGGATGAATAGCCAGATTTTGGCCTCTTAGCTCCGGTGCAACAGTTATTATTAATTAAGGCACTTTGTTGTCTAAAAATTTGTCTGTAGGTCTTGCATGAATTTTTAAAAAGGTGTATAAAACATGGGCATGAAAAATAAGGAAATTGAAACTGTTTTATGTATATTTGTTTGAGCTAGAATGCCTACATGGTTCCTGGAAGCTCACCTGTTTCCTCCCTAAGATTGTAGACTTAAAAAAAAAAAGTCTTTAGTTCTAACCTTATGATTATTTCTAATCTGGTGAACCCGAGTATCCCTAAAACCACTTTCTGGTCAAATTTGAAATGATTCGAAGAGTGGCTGCCCAGTGGTTAGGGCATAGAGCTTGGATTCCTGAGGTTCTGAGTTCGAGTCCCAGTCCCACAGACTTCCACTCTGGGTCTCTGAGCAAAAGCCCTTAACCCCACACTGCTCCCCAGGCGCCACACGATGGCAGCCCACTGTTCCCAAAGGTGATGGGTTAAATACAGAGAGTGAAATTTGTTGCTTTGTACTTGTGACAGTGTAATAACAATAAAAAGCAGGATATCTTAAAGTGAAGCTTTTTATAAGTATGTCCCCATTTAAACCAAACAGTAAAACTTGGATCAGTTACTTCCTTATGTCTCCAACTCTTCTATCTCACACCCATCTCTGCAGGGACGTTAAATACATCAGAAAAAGGAGATATCGGTGTTTTAAAGAGACTTTTTGGTCGATGTTTCTGGATTGGAAATCTGACTAAAAGACTTTCCTGCAGCGTGTGCGGCGTTGTGGATCAGAACCGTCGCTAACAGGATGTGACTGGAAATCCACAGGAAAATCAGCGAGAGGCATTCAGTCCCTCGCATTGATCAGGAAAAATAAATTCAGCAGTAGACCTGCAGGTTGTTTTCTCCTTGGTCTCAGTTTACCCACTGTTCTGCTTTTAATGCATTCCTGCAGCATCCCACCCCGTTAGCATCAGGCTCGTTCTTGACAAGACAAATTTGTCTGCGTGCCGACTGAAGGCTTGCAGTCCTCCGCGCACGTCTAAGGTCGCTGCTGAACACAGCCGTGGAAGCACTTGGGCGACTACAGATTTGATTTTCTCCCGTTTTTTGGCTCAGATGCAGCTTTAGCACTAATTGTTTTTGCCTGAAATTCAAAAGGGGAGAGCGCAGAAAGCACTGCGTCCTCGGTTAAGGCTGCAAGCTGACAGCCAGTCATCCATCATTGTCGGGTCTCGTGTAGCTGTGCTGTCGCCTTGACTGAATAAAAGGCTCCGACTGAAGCATGAAGAGAGGCATGTAGAGGAAGATGGGGAGGGCGTTAAACTCCGGGAGGGGAGAACGTTTTTAGAGCAACACGAACATGACTGTGAATGAGTGTGAAAACTTGTGAAATAAAAACACAAACTGACACTTCGATGTTCATTTTATAGTTTAATCCAAACCTGTGAGGACAACTAATAGATGGAAAAAGTTCATTTTGAAGTTCCTCTGGTTATAGCGGCATGAGTAAAAAAAAAAAAAAAAAGGTTTGTACAGATTTCAAGATGTGTTTCTACTAGGCAAGGCAAGGCAAATTTATTTGTATAGCACAATTCAGTACAAAGACAATGCAAAGTGCTTTACATGATTA